CAGGATCGAGATAATACCCCGGATTCCGAGATAGCCGAGATATGCAAAAAAGGCGCTCGGCAAATAAACACAAGCAAAAATAGGAAAGAACTAAGAGTTATCAGAAGAAGAGCCTATTTGCGCAATCGGAGGAATTGGTTCAACCAAACAGACATTACATACTACAACTCCAACAGTAAGAATCACAGGGGTCGCGAAAAGGATTATTGGTAGACCGGCCAAGCTGGCTAATATATACGTGAAACAAGACATCAAGTTTTGGATTCGAAATTAGTGAAATTAGTGGCAATATTTTTGGGCATTTTATATAAATTCAAATCAATCTGATGTAAGATCGATCACGCATCAGTTGCACTATTACTAAAGAAGCGGACAAAGCGTTACTGTCAACTCTCGATAAACTGACATTTTAATAGCTATATAATATTTCCATAATTGGATATATTGTATCAATACTATAATCAGTATAACGATCAACTGCATCAATTTTGTCCTTAAACTGTCCATTTTAGCGGGCAAATTTGCCTGCTAAAATAATTGGAGGAAAACTAAACACAAAAAAAAGTTTTATTATAACAAGCTTAATTTAAATTAGCTATGATGATGCGTATACAATGTGACTCAAACAGAGAACACAAATCTGAGTCACATGGAATTTACTATAATTTGACTGTGAAGTATTCTATATAATCGAATTTCTGGAATTATCCTAGCGATTTGATTTTAAATAATATGTATCTAAACAAAATAAAATCTATGGATACTTATCCATAATAAAATTTTATATTATTAGAATAATTAGATCAGCAAATTGGCTATGTAAATGAGTATGCATTCTAATTAGAAGAAATAAAAAGAACTATTTATTTATTAAATAAACCCAATTAAAATCTATAAACTTATCACATTATTAGTGTTGTAATAATTCTTTATTTTAATTAATCGGAATCCTAAATATTTAATTAATCGTAAATTCTAAGCTTCTAATTAATTGTAATTCTAAGCATCTAATTAATCGGAATCCTAAATATCTAATTAATCGTAAATTCTAAGCTTCTAATTAATTGTAAATTCTAAGCATCTAATTAATCGTCAATTTTAAGCATCTAAACAATACTGAGCACCAAGTTAACAATTTAATCAAAAAGCGATAGCATTAAAGCCTTTATTTTTCGATATTAAATTCAAGAAAACAATTCCAATTATTATTGCAACAAAGGGATACATTATATGCTATACACCAAAGCTGGCTTTGGTGTGACGTTTTATGATTCAAATCCAAAATTTCTTTGCTTGCCAATCAAACACACCAATGACATGCTTCTCGTTTCTCTCTCTACTCTGCAAAATGGTCTCCAGGTACAAACCATTTATTTGAAAGCTCAAAATGCTTTGTTACCTTTGGTCATTTTTTTGTTTCTTTTTTTGTTTCTTTCTTCAAACTGTTTCTTAGCTGAACTTCTTTGGTATCATTTGCTAGATTGATAAGACTCCAAACAAGTTTATGATGAAATTCTTTTTGCATCTGTGTTGATCCTAAAGTTTGGATAATTCGATATAAATTGATGATTGCAATATCCAATAACCAGAAAAAAGAGGCATCCAATTCCTTCATACTGTTTGTTGTATATTGTAATATGATCACAATTGATTAGCAACATCCATGCATTCATGTGATTGTTGTAGTCATTAATTATCTTGGAAATTTTCAATATTTTTTTTGATTCAAAGCCAAACACTACATACACTTTTTTTGTATTCCTACTTGTTTTTCTTGGCTACTATCTTTTTTGTTCTATCTTCTACTCTTCACCAACAAGACTATAAATTGTTGATAATATTGTGACTGGCCTATTGTCTTGTCAAAAGACAGCCAATACATCTTTAATTATAATATCAGAATGAATATTTCAATTAAGTTTGACATTTTTATCTATCTTCAATTCTTTTGAAAATTCAGAAGCTGTTTTTGGACAGTTTTACAAGTACCAATGCCAATTTGCTAAAGATTTTTTAAAAAAAAAACATTGAAAAAGCAATTATTCATATATATATTGTATAAAAATTGATAATATGAAAGTTGTATAATAAGATAGTAAACCAGACATCCAATTTGATTAAGACCATTCACTTTTGTTACATTATTTAAAGAAATACATGATGTTGATAGAAAAAAATATATCCTAATTCACAAAGTAATAAAACTTTGAAATTCTCTGGAATCAGTTTGTTTTTTATTTAAACAGTATAAATATTTCTTCCAGAAAATCAGATTATTATTATTATTATTTTTTTAAGTAGGTAAACACCAGTTCTTTATTATTTCATATGTATAATAGCATACATTTAGGAAAGAACCAACAACTTTTAGTTGCAAAAGCATACAATAAGTTAAATGCTAGCTTGCCTACTCATACAATGTTTAACTAGTACAGAAAAGAAATTTTAAACTATACTAATTGCTAAATAAAAGGAGTAGCAGCTATACCTACCTACTTAAAAAAAAAGCTTTTATATTTTGAAAATTTGAAAAGAAAAAAATAACACTAACTAAAACTGAAACTAGATCGAGTAAATTATAAAATCTATGAAAATAAAAGTTGAATATTTAAGAGAATCCTGGGCCAGACTCGTTGTCCCATCTCTCTGATTCTTTGTAACTTGTTAATACTTCTTTTCTTGACACAGATAGTAAAATATACTTGAAGTTATTTACTGTGATAGTTGTTGTTGTTATGGTAGGGATCAGACAGGTGAACCGGTTTAAGCCAATTGTTGTTGTTATTATTATTATTGTTGTTGTTGTTGGATTGATAAACCAGTTTGAATCAGTTTTGTTGTTTTGATTTAAGTAATATAGTGAAATTTGATTGGATGGTTGCCAGATATCGATCAATTGGAGAAGGTAAACTGATTTCAGTTTTTGGAATTAAAAAAGATTGAAGATTTTTTTGAGTGGTGCAGTAAGTGACATCAGGATAGAAAAGTATATGAAGGTTGTGTTGAAACAAACATTAGAACTTACTACTTTGTTTGAGTATATTTTTTGAAAAGTGTTTATGAATATAGTGATTGTGATAATATATATGAGAATGGTTTTCATAATAAAAAGGAGATATGGGTTGCAAAAGAACCAAAGAATCAAAGTATATCGCCACGGGCCTTTCCCCATGTAACTGAAGGATAAACAAGACTCCCAAACTTGAATAGACTTCGACCAGAGGTCCCATCCCACTGCATCAGTTGTCTTTAGTATTCTTGGGTTCCTGAGCTGGGGCTCACTTGTGATAAAGAGTGTAAAACATTTTTTTTACCAAAATTACCATATATAGAAATTTTTAGCAAAACAGACGTGATCAGGAGAGAGTTTTAAAATATTTTTAAAAAATCAGATTATTATTTCATCTACTGAGATATTTGAACTTGATATATAAAGTTGTTTTGAGACATTTTAAATATGTAAAAACAGTGGCTCCAATTTTTCAAAGTAATTATTAATAGTAGTTATTGAAAAATATATATGCAATATATATATAATGAAATTGAATTCAATTATTTTTCAAAAACCATATTATAGTAGAATTATTAAGTAATATATAATAAATAATTGGAAATCATATTTAATTCAGAATCATATTGTCAATCAAATTTTTTTATGATAATATAAACATATGTATGATATATAAATATCTTTTAATTTATTCAAATTATTTTAATAACATTTGTTTCAAATATGATAAATGGAAAGCTTTATATTCTTATTTCAATATTGATTAAAAGAAAATAACTTAAAAAGTTCTTGATAAATAACTAAAGAAATCCAAATAATAAGCTTATTGCAGTTGATATTTTACTATTATCTGCCAGTAATACTAGTATTTTTTATTAATGTATATAAATTTGTATTGGTAACTATTGTGTTTAATATAGTGTTTATAAAAAAAATAAAAAAAGATTAATTGGTTTAGAAAAATTAATTTTATAATATAAAGACAAATAAACAAATACCTAATGCAATAGTTTTAAATAAACAAACAGTTCAAAATCAAAAGATAGTAATGGCAATTTTTGTAAAACTCTTTCCGCTGATCCCCTTGCCAACCCAAAAAACAGACGTTCTCAAGAATAATTTTTATTTTTGATAATAAAGTCTATACACTCACCTTAAAAACATTACTTCCTGAAGGCAGGTGCCTCCCCCACTTGTTTATTTTTCCTTCTTCGAAAAACTTTGAATATTTCAACGACAAAATAAACAAAACTTTATCCATTTGGTCTATGACAAGAACACCTTACTGGGAAGAAGAAACCTGTAGAAAAACATCCTCCACTATTTCTCCTCAGATCAGGAACTTTAGAGAAGTGAACCATTAGTAAATGCATTTCCCAAGATCCATAAGAACCTTGGGTCTATTATAAGACCTTTGCTGGGGTGGGTGGATAAGCTAATTGGGCCTATTAGTGAATACACTTCCAAGATGGGTCCACCATAAATAAACTCCTTGGTCAGGCAGGTGGATAAGCTGATAGGAATCTGTTGGACAGGTGTATGAACCTTCTCCACCATTCAT